ATGTGCGCACATAGTTATGGAATAAAGAGATTGCTAATAGAAACCCAGACTTCTAAAGTAGAAGGTTTCCATCTCATGAGATATATATATTTTGGAAACCCAGACTTACTGGCATAGAAAGAACCCATTATCCGGACTACTGGTGTAAAATTTTTCATCTCATATTCAATATCCTATCGGTTCTAAGCACAATTCCCATTAAATTCATATTAAGTCTTGACTTAGGTTCAGGTTTATCGAATAATGTCTTAATAATCGATCTAATACAATATCATGATATAACCCATAGATTCAAGAGGTGAGAATTGTCTTTCAACCTTAGAATCATTATTATGTGAGGATACCTTTCAAATCATGTTTATTGGGTGTTCATGGAAATGGTCTTTCGATCAACACAACAAGATTATCATGGTCATGGAAATTTCATTCATAGTCATGTGTAAGGGTGTATATGAGAATAACTTTTCAACAACACCATAGTTACATCATAATCATGCTCATGCATGGAGTGTGTATTTTAGAATGTCCTTTTAATGACACAAAACAATATCATCATCATAGACACTTCATTCTCAAAGTGTTCATAAAGCATACACATAAATCTCATAATCATGCATAATTTTCATATAGGCAGAACACATAAACAACCCCTTGAACTTGCACGCTTTTCTGTTTAGACACCTTAACAAGAGTTCCTTCCTATTGAACACTTAAACCACTCAAAAAGTGTACCTATCAAACAAACGTGGCTGACTTGTCACCTGTCGTTTGAAGCACGTCTTTTGAGCATGTGAAGTGAGGAAAACAAAGTTGATGTGTCTGATTTGGCATACTTAATGGTACAATTTTTTCCCTTTTATTTATCCACCCTAAATTCTTTTATTTTTTAATTTCTAATCTCTTTCTTCTCCATATCTCACCACTGTTGCTGTTGGAGATCAAAAAAATTTCTTCATTCATCTTTTTTACAACGAATGAAATGTCCAATTTGTCGATTTTAACTTCTTCTGTTGCAAAAGTGTTTTGTCGATTTGGGGTTAATACTGAATTGAAAACCTCATGGACACAACTTAATACAGGACGTAGATTTTTTTGTTGCAAAAACACAAAGGTAATATTTTTATTATTATTTAAATCTGGTTAAAAAATCGCGGTTATTGCTAATTATAATTTAATTATTTTAATTATTACCTAGACAAGAGGTGAATGCAATTTTTTTGATGGTACGAGGATGATCTATCGCCTCAAGCAAAAAAGATCATATGGGGCCTATTGAAAAGAATCAAAGAGGAAGCAGGCAACAAAAATCAGGATCACATGTGTTTTTGCACTCGTGATTTTCGCTATATGGCAACATTTAAGCTTAGAGTGATTGTATCAGTAGTATTGTGTTTCTGTTTTACTGATGTTAGACTAAGGAATGGAGATAAGTTGTTCATTAATCTATTATAGTTTTCTTGTTTATTAACCATATTAAGTGAACAATACAACAATAAGCTCCAAACAAGCATGAATGATAGACAAAAAATTCTTTGCATTTCCTTGCAAGAAAATTCACAATTAAACCATTAGTTATATTACATCAAAAACATATTAAAGCAGTCTCAATATTGTTTCCTGCTTGCATTACAGATTCAAAATAAAACAACCCCCAAGAGTACATAAAAAACACCCAAGATACATTAAAGTAGTCACACCCATGTTCTTGTTTTTGTTGCACTAGACATTTGCAGATCCACTGCTTTTGGACTTGCGTTGTAATTGTGAAGTGGTGACAATATCTTTACCCTTCCATTTCAGTCTATGAGGCTTATAACCAATATCAATGTTTGTTGGTGCTACACACTTGAAAACAGCTGGAGTAACAATTCTTTCACCTGTTGTACCTGGCTGTATACAAGAAACTAAAATTAAGTGCCTATTATCAAAGTAAGTAGATTATAAATAATTAAAGGTGGTTATACTCTTATATTTAATGTTTGTATGCCACTTATATCATCAATGTAGATTCCAAAGCTCACAGACTTATGTCACTTATATCATCAATGTAGATTCCAAATCTCACAGACTTAAGCCTTTTGTTTTCTCCTGTTGATGTTGATTCTCCTTCTCTTTCCAAACCTCTTCCTGCTTGTTGTTTTTTTGTAACAGCTGAAGTATCATCACCTCCTCTCCCCCTACCTTTTCCCCTGCCTCTTCCCCTGCCTCTTCCAGCTTGTTGAACTCTTCCAACAGTTGAAGTATCATCAAAAATAGAAGTTGATTGTTGGCCTGAGCTGACATGTTGTAATGGTCTCCAGGTTGGTGGTTAGCTAGAACCTACAGGTTGCCTTGAGCTTTGTGGCTGACTTGAGCTAGCAAGTTGGCTAGAATCTACAGGTTGCCTTGAGCTTTGAGGTTGACTTGAGCTAGCAGGTTGGCTTGAGCTTACAGGTTGCCTCGAGCTTTGAGGCTGACTTGAGCTTGTAGGTTGCCTTGAGCTTGAGCTAGCAAATTTGTTGAGCTTTGAGGCTGACTTGAGCTAGCATGTTGGCTTTAGCTTGTAGGTTGGGTTGAGAAAAATTGTAATGCATTTTGTTTATTTAATTGAAGTAATCAAAGGTGGCTTGAGTATTACCACATATTTGCAAACTTTATTATTGTGGCCTTGTTGATGACACTTGGAGCAAGTCATTTTTACATCTCTCCTAGATAACTTCCCACACTTCTTTTTCTTGGTTCATCCTTTGACTTTCTTCTGGATTTTGGTGGTCTGCCAGACATTTGTCTTGGTTCAGGAGGTTCAATCACTATATAAGTAGTGTGAGGCCACATTTTTATGTTAGGTATTGGCTGGATAAAGTAATTATAAGCCTTCATGAAAGTATCTTTTTTGTATCAATGTACAACATGATCTTCAGGGTCTTTGCCAGCATGCTTATATGCCAAAACAACATGTTTGACATAGTATGCCTCTCAACTGCCAGGTTCTACAAGTACATGTCTTTTTTCTGATATAACCAATATGCCTATAATGACCCTCTAAAATTTCATATCCAAATTGGCCATTGAACCTAACTTGACAATCTCTAGCATAATCTTTGTTTTCTTCGAGTACTAAACTAGTCATAGGAGAAATTTCTGATATCCAAGTGTCAACAAATTTTATCATCTCCACATTCCATCCATTATCTTATGTCTAATCTTCTCTAACATGGTGATAATTGATTTATGCCTAGCAACTAATATCCAAGAGTTAAATGTCTCACACATATTATTCTCAACAATATCACACTTAATATGCTCCTTAAAATATGCTTTACACAATGTCTTCCTTTCATAATTTAACAAGTCCCCACAGATGTTCTTATTAGCAAGTTTGTCCATTTCACCTTGAAATTTTACCTCAAAACTTGATTTTTCAAATCTCCAGAATTGTTTTCTTCTTTCTTCTCCTCTCTAGGTCTTCTACCAATTAGACCAAATATGTCTAGCACACATCCTTTGCTTACAATCTGGCAGCAACTCCATTATGACTGCTACAAGACCCTACATATCATAATAATTTATGAGTAGTAATAATTAAATAAATAGACAATGAGATCAAAATAAATAAAATTAACATTAATCCATGTCCAGTGTCTAAGTTTAGATCTTGTATCAAGAAATTGATGAAGAAACTTAAATTGTGCTTTGTTTCTTGATCAACAACTGCCCAAGCAATTGGAAACATTTTTTGATTTCCATTCCTACCAACTGCAACCAATAATTCACACTTGCAAGCACCCTTCAGAAAATATCCATCAAAACCAATGATTTTTCTACATACTTCCAACCAACCTCTCCTTAATGAATCAAAACAAACATAAAAGTAAACAAATAACTTTTTTCCTGGAGTAGATTCTCTGTCTGTCTCACCCAACATGACCTACGAAGATTAATTTGTTTTATCATGTCTGCATAATTACACAACCTTGAAAACTCCATCTTCTAATCACTCATAAACATCTTAAGAATCATCAATTTTGCCCTATAACAAAGATTTCTTCCAACATACAATCTTGTCTCCTTTTTTACCAACTCTTGAATTTCCCACAACTTTATATGAGGCTGAGAAACTATTTTGTCCCTAAACTTATTTGCAATAAAGTTAGATGTACACAACTTCTTCTTTTTTATGGTAGAGCACTGATGAACTGGATAATAGTTCTTAACAATAAAGTCACCAGAGTCTTTGTCTAGACTAGCATACAATAACCATTTGCATTTTTTATGTTGATATTTAACTCTAACTCTATGTTTTTCATTAGGCCTCAATTTTAATTTGACTTAATATTCCACAGCATACTCTGCTATAGCCTTTCTAAATTCTATAGCATTTTCAAATACCATACCAAGCTCAAATATAGCAACTACACAATCAGGATCAAATCTAACCTTTTTACTTTTTCTTCTAGCTGGTAAATCAACACCTTCCACAACTTTAGTATCTAATTCATCCCAACGATCATCACTATCTAGTTCTGAACTACCAATATATTGTTCATCTTCCCCCCCCCCCAACCCAATCTTGTAACAGACCTAGCAGTTTGGTTCCTTCCAATGTCTTCAAATCCATATCAACATCAGCGACTCCAACAATTATTTCCTCTGTAGGAATTGGTTTTTTAACCAGCAATTTGGTTCTCCTTTCATTTCTAAGATTTCTCAACTCTTCATCAATCTCTGAGTCATCTTCATACTCTTGTGAATCATCACTGCAATTCCAATCAGTTTCAACACCTTCAAGATCTGATGCATCATCTACACCAATTTTAACATTAATATTCTCAGATTGGGCAACTTACTGTAACTCTTCATACACACCAACTTCAGTATCAATATTCTCAGATTGAGTAGCTCTTTGTTGGTCCCCTTTGTCACATTCGGGTTTACCCCCTAGACGTAAGTGGCGTCGTCGTCCTCTTTGAGGACTAAGACTAGCCTTATAGTCTCATGTCATTACATTCATAGGTTGAAAATGCAGAAAAATTTAAACTTTTTATTACATCTACTTGGAGGTTTACATAGACCTCAACATACACATAATATATACGTATCGAGTATACATATACTCTTCGAAAAGGAAGGTTACATATCCTTCTACTTTTATTGAATATACATATACTTTAAAATAGCGAATAGTCTCAAAGATTGTCTCATCTCATACCATCTAAACGATCATCACAAGTTGGGCATAACCCTACATCAAATGTAAAGAAGCCACATATAGACTTATACAAGTCGTACACAATGAAAGTGGAAAGAACGTAAAATTCTTAGAAAAACAAAGGAACTTCATAGGCAAGATATTGACATCGCCCTTGAAAAGTGAAGACCTACCCACTTGGATGATAGAGAATATCCAAACCTTCTTCATGTCATCTCGAATGAGTTTTCAATGATCGAAATCTAAAATGTTTGGGGAAAAAGAAGAAATGGGTTTAGTACTCCACATGTACTAAGTATGAGACCATATGCACATATAAGAGCAAAACATGCTAAAAGGGGACATTTAATCAAAACATGTCATTGTTACCTTTTAAAAGTCTAATGCAAAATCAAAAAAGTCATACCAACCAACCAAATATGCTTACTAACTCAAACAAGTAAAATGTATCCCAACATACTTGAACCCATGATTTACTACAACCCTATCATCAAGGAATAACATCACAAGCATGAATAAGAGTCAATCATATCATAATAAGCAATACAACTACTCATGAATCCTTATCAAGTCAACAAGTGCAATGACCAAGCAAATCCCCACAACTTTACTCAATCAAGTAGCTTCAACAATATACCATAACCAATGACCGACTTCATGTAATATCAAATTTAGATATACACTTCATCTTATTATAAGAATACAACACAACACATACTCATAAGTGAACTAATCAACATGTAGTATCAACAATGTGCAAAGTTCATCATGTACATATCATATATCATCATAACATAAACATATATAAGTCCTCCTCAGACTCCCCTCAAGTCTAACTAGTGCAATGCTTAGGTAGAGTCACATACCCCTACCTAGACTAAGTTAGACCCCTTAGGTTATCCTAGTTAGAGTTCAATTCTTTAGTTCATTTTACCTTTTGGGAATATCTTGCGCTAACCGACATAGACCACATAAGCTAGTGTGAAATCCAGTGTCATGAAAACCTACACCGAAAGAAGGCGGACTACTTGCAAAGGTATTAACAAAACATAAAACATAGCAACTACGTGAATCCACTAGCTAGTATTCCTATGGGGGCAACATAGTTCAAGAACTAGGAGATATAGTTGGGACCCTCTTTATGCTCCATGCATTGTAGTGTCCAATCTCAAGAGTAATTTAGTGCTCCTACCTTCCCTATGTGGGAAGGGAAACTACTCAATCTAGTTCACTCGGTGCTAAGTTAGATTCCCTTTTTGAAATGTCTTTAAGCCTTTAATTATCAACCATAGCTTAATTTAGGTCACAGGGTTTACCCCTTGTATAATCAACATCACCAATAGCTCAATAAGAATTGTATAGTATAAATCCTTTCATCACAATTCATATAGTTGAGGTTAACACATTACATATCAATTCATAATAAGGCACATTGGTATACATCACCATCCTTGTAGCATTTACATCTTAATCAACCTCACAACCATAATCAAGACATTTCAACTCAACATCATACCACCCTAACATCCTAATACAAGGCACATAATACCACCCTATCATCCTAATATAAGGCATACTCCAATATAACATCATGACTTAACCACAATTAATCACAATTGGAAGTAACAAATAGAGATTCTAAGACTTACCAAGTCTCCTTCACAGTTCATCATAAGGGTCTTACCATCACCCCATAACTCAACCCGACTAGGTCATCACATCAACATAATTCAATATCCAACATGGTAATAAGACTAGAAGAACCACTACAAAATAATTCAATACTAACTCAAAGCTTAAGACAAGATAATTAGGTCACTTCTCATAACCTAAATCACTTCTCAAAAACTATTATGGAAGACTACAATTCATCTTAACTTTTTCATGATTTGTGTAACAACATCATCTAATAGTGATTTAACTAATAATTAAATTAATTGAATCAATCACAATCCAATTTATTACATCAAGATCAAACCTAGCGTTAAGGGTTAAGGATCATATTCTTCAATTTGAGCCAAACCATCACAATTGATCATAATTAAGTTAAAATACATGTTTATATATCCATTATATCCTAAAGAAATCATAAACAACCCAGTTCACAACATTAATTTCGTAATTGGATGAAACCGATATGAAAACTCAACTTTTGAAATCCATTTTGAGGGAACCTTTTGAGGAAAGAGTCTCAAAGGTGAATTAGATCCCATACCTTAACGTTTGACAAAAATTTGATGGTGAAATCGTCCATTTCCAGCCCCTAAAACCTCCCCCTAGCTTGTCTTTAATGGTGGCTTCCAAATAGAGAGAGAAAGAAGAGAGAAGGAAGAAAGTTTATTTTGGTGAGTTGTGTTTAGATTAATGATGGTTGGGGAATTTATAGGGGAAGTTAATTAACTTATTTACACTCACTTACATCCCTAATTAACCTCCTAACCCCTTAACTAATCAAATAAACCAACATTAAAACATGCAGGAAAACTTTGACCCTCACAGACGGAACCCCGTCGACGGGCCATCTGTGAGTCGACTATTGGTCCCCCCCTCCGTCTTGCACAATCGTCGTCTTGGTTAGAGACTGGTGCAGGTGGAGGACTTCCATTTTTTAAGTATGGATAAATGGTTGGCAACGATGCCCCGTCGATCCATACACGGACCGTTGTCTGCATCTCGTCGGTGCACACTGCCTAGGCAGTGTTGACATCAACTTGCAAGGGTCCTCCTTAAGGGCCCTTGGTTGGTCATTGGGGAGTCGTACCCGTAAGTTTCGACCATGAATTATATTAAACACATATTATACACCCTTTCTCCTAATTTCATGGATTTTTGACTCCTAAAAGTTAGTCAAATAGGCTTTGACACGTTAGTACCCCTTAGAACTAGTTATGTTTTAGTTCTTAAACTTCTTAAATGACCTATATTCATTGAAATAGGTCTTAAAATAGTGCTTAGTCCATATGGAACCTATGTTAGGCTCTAAGACTCGTCTTGAATTTTCTAGGGGTTACACCCTCTATCTACATCAATATTATGTGAGTTTTCTACCCCATCATTGTTAACACTTTCACCAATTATTGGCCCACAAAGATAAGCTGTAGGGACCCCATCTTTAAAAACCTCTACATCATCCACAACATGTTCAACATACAAGTCTAAATAGTCATTATCACCTAGGTCTTCTATAAGTTTTAGTAAACTGAAATCATTATCCACTAAGACAAATTTATTGCTTGTAGGGTCTTTTATATAAAACACACCCACAGTAACATACCCCAGATCTCTAGTATAAAAATGTAATTCCATTAAGGAAAAATGGTTTTTATCGATATCTACATATTCCACTTCACTTTCCCCCATGTAAGTGGACCTTCACCAGATGTGTCTTTTACAAATTTACCCCCATAATGAAAATGAGTAAGTATAATAATATCCATGATATTCCCTAAAAAATTCAAATAAAGTCGACAAATTACTGACAAGAAAATCCTAAAAAGATCAACTTTATTCACATGTGTACAAAACATTATCACTCCACTAACATACAAAAATAGACGCTACATTTAAAGGGGAAACTGCAATTCAACAATATTCGAAAATGAACTTACTTCTCAAGATTTTTACAGCACAAAATCTCCTAGCTTTCTCTAATCAGCCGTAGAACACAAAAACAACAATTAGTTTCTTCAATCGAGCACGCCGTAAGAAGAATACATGAAGATTAGAGAGATGACTGCAAGGTTTTCTTAGAGAATCGGCCACATTGAGCGGGAATCGTGAATGAAATTCTAGGGTTTTTCCAAAATAAATTTTAGGGATTTAGGGGAATGACTAAGGGGTTAGGTGTGGGGTTGGGTGTTTTACCACGTAGATAAGATTTTTTCACGTAGGAAGTGTGTAATGTCACGCGCTTCATGTTAAAATAAATGCCTCAAACGACAGGTGACAAGTCGGCCACGTGTATTTGATAGGTACACTTTTTGAGTGGTTTAAGTGTTCAATATGAAGGATCGTCTAAAAGGAAAAATTGTGCAAGTTCAAGGGGTCGCTTATATGTTCTGTCTTTCATATACTACATTCAAGGATCATAGATCACATTAAATCAACACATCTAAAATTTACTACATTAGACATGAATATAATCATAATTCAAGTAGTTCAATTATCATGTACTCATATTATAGGTCATGTGCGTAAAGTCTTTCCACAATAATGACATATACAATTCAACGTACATAAAAACTTCCCTCTTAAAGTCTTAACATTCTTAGCTCATTTATATTAGCTTTTACCCTTATATCCCTATAAATCATCTTCATGCTACTAGCCTTACTCTCAAGCAATACTTCACATGTTCATCATGTATGTCTAATTCAAATGATAATATAAACATATGCTTCATTCTTGACCAATTATAGTCATACAGCATCATGTAAACCCAACATCAACTCTACTAAACCATAATCCATCATATAAACCTTAATCTAATAAATTCATGTCTACAAGCTTCACTTTTAAGCAATTCATGTCTGGATGCTCTAATCTCAAGCAATTTATAAAGAAATTCATCAATCTTAGAAGGTCACATCTAGCCCTCAATTTCCTCTTTCATGGAATAACACTAAACTTTATCAATTTCACCCTTGAATCTTAAGTTAATCAAGAATATATGTATCATCATACTAAAATCATGTAATTACATCATAATCAATCATAAACAACTATTATACACTCATCTGGATCAACATGCTACAATACCCAAAATGTAGGATGGAACCATAAGTATGATTGGAGATTCATCTTCACAATTGGGGCAAAAGTAGGGGACTCAATGGATTCTTGGTGAATTCAACATAAAACCCATATAAAATAATCAATATATCCATAAATGAAAATGCTTCAATCATTAAGAACGATTTTGAAAAGAATCCATGAGATTGAAGTCAAATTCTAACTTTTGGAATTCTTAGCTTTGAAATTGGGGATTTTGAAGGGGCTCTATGGATGAATTCTATCCATAGATAAAGAGATACCATACCTAGCTTTTCCCACGAATTTGAGGAGGAAGTCTTGATTTTCAACCCTAGCTTCCACATTCTTCTTCTTTTTCCTTGGAGTTCTAGAGAAAAATATTTGAAAAAAGTTGGTCTATTGATTTGGGTTTTTGGGATTGTTTGAAGTGAATGAGTTCGTAATGACTTAAAAAGGCTTATATAGGTGTATCAACACTATACAAAATGACCTCACTTAATACTAACTAAAATAGAAATTACCTAAGCAACCTTTAAATTTAACAATAATGGGACAACTTGCAGACTTTATCCACGACCACCACTTAAGGGGCGTGGACCCGAGACCCGTACTGGTGGAGCATAGGCTGGGGTCTGCATCATTGAAAAATTTTCTTGATCCGCGAGTCCTTCATCCATGGAGAGAGGACCACTTTATGGGGCGTAGGTCCTTCCGTGGGTCATTATTTTGGGCAGTTTTGAGGGGAGTTCTAGGGTTCTCCTTAAGGATCCTTGCTTGGTCCTTTGGGGGGGGGGGGTTGTACCTTGACGTTTAACCTCTAAATCTTCATTCTAAGTAGAAGAAGCAAATTTTACGACTTTAACACTTACAACAAGCTCTAGTTAAGCCTACAAGTTTCCAGTCTGTTACACTTGCTCTTAGGTGACTCCACCTTTATGATTTGCTAGTGTAGTAGAGTTTTGAGTTGTTGTGGTTCTCGTCTTTACAACTATTTTTATACAATGTATGTTTCATAGATAGACATTCTTGATTAGTCCTTCAACATTCAATTTCAGATATTTTATTCAAACCTTATGTTTTTACTCAATATTAGAGAGTTATGTGATTCAGTAAATTGTTGTTAAACAATTTTTTCAGTTTGATGTTTGCATATGCTTGAGTTAGTCTTCCGTGCATAGTCAACCATGATGAGAATTCGCTAGGGGACCATCAATAGTTCTCAAGTGTCGATCTCCTTCAGGGTGTAGGCTCGGGTCATGACATTTCTGATGAGTTTTATGTGTTGATTCCAGAGTTATTTTTTGGTAAATGGAGTCGAGGAAGAAAGTTGTGTTTGTGGTGTCTTTACTCTATTTTTGATATCTTTCTTTATAGTCAAATATTATATCTTTAGAGTTTGTTTAGTGTTTGTCCCACGTCTGTTGTACCATATTTTTGGTAATACCTAAAAATCAATATATATATATATATATATATATATATATATATATATATTAAATAGTATTATCATTTGAAAGAATATTTTGAGTGTTGGACTTCAGTTTTGGGCAATTTTAAGGAGATATTTTTTTGCTATTTCACTAATTATTTGTTTTTATCGTAATTTAAAAGTAGAATTTGAGGGAAATTTCTAGCTTTAGAAATCATTTTTCTTTGATTTGGAGGTTGTTTCAAATTCGATTTTTAATAGGAAATTTGAGATTTGAGATCCTTGTACGATGGGTAAGTTGATTTTAAAATAGGGAAAATAGTTTGACATACCCTTAACTTTGTCATCTGGAGCTGATATGCCCCTCGTTATGAAAGTGACTCATGTATATCCTTACCATTATACAAACGGCTCACGTATACCCCTACCGTTACAATATTATTTCACATGCTAGTTAGAACTAGATTGTTCAAAATCATTTAGGGGTATAGATGATCCTTCTAGCAAAGTTCAAGGTAGATTTTAATCTTTTTCATACATATTTTTTTTTGACTTTTTTGATTATCATTATTTGAGTTTCTTATTCTTATGTTATTTTTTTCTTTTATTCCTTAATGTAAGAAAAAAATTAAAATAATTTTTTTTGGCTATATTATAATTTAAAACTTTTTTTCAACTATTTTATAATTTAGTTTTTGTATTTGAAATTTTTTTGGGTCATCTATAATGAATTTTACAAGAATATTAGTGTAAGATAAATAAATTTGACCATCAAAATAATAAATCTAATTAAGACAAAAAGAAAGTAAAAAAATATATGTCTGAGGAGGATTAAGCATACCCATATGAGACATATTGTGTTTAAAATACTATTAAAAAATTAAATTAAAATTAATTTTTTCACTTCCATTAGAGAAAAAGGGTATATGTGAGCTATTTCTGTACCAGTAGAGGTATATATGAGTTACTTTCATAATAAAGGATATATCAATTCTAAATAACAAAGTTAAGGAGTATATCAGATTCTTTTTCTTTTAAAATAAAAAACTACAATTTTGACCTTGAAGGGTTGAGGTTGACTTTTGGATCGAAATTGAAGTATATCAATTATCAATATGGTTACGTACTTACAAATACGTACACATATGTGATTAAGCATTTGAACAGTTGGAATTATTCGAAGACAAGACTTTAAGGAATGGTAATTTCGTAGTTTGATCTTTCTAAAATTACAATTGAATTTCTTGGATTTTAAGAAAATATAGTATTCACTTAAAACCAAATCTGCTTCATGGATTATACTTTCCATAATCATAATTGTACTTTTAACATTTTAAGAAAAAACATGAAAAAATTCACTTGGAAACCATAATAATTATTATTTTCAAAATCACACCTGGACTTTTAGCTTTTTATTTATTTATTTATAAATATTCACTTGGAAACAAATTTGCTTTATTAATTATACTTTTCAAAATCACAATTAAAAATTTAACATTTTAAGAAAATACAAAAAATAAAATTCTTGGAACTAAATCTGCTTCATGAATTATGTTTTTCAAAACTATAAATGGTTTTTTTTTAAGAATATACATAAATAATATACTTAATTATATGGTAATAACATTCTTAGACATCTATATAAATAAATTTATATTCTTCATTTCACTTGCTCAATCATAGTCTCTTTTCTCTCAAATAAAGTGTTCCTTTTTTTATTGAGTGTATACAAAATATGTCTAATGATAGGGAATTAATTGATGATAGTGACAGAACAAATCCCTTTTATAAAAAAAATAACAAGTTTGTCTAATTAAAAAGCACAAGAATTATCAATTTTGTGTGATGTCCCACTTGCGCTAATTATTTTTTGTCCGAAAGAAGTTATCTTTTGTCCAACTGAAACTCAAGTTAAGGAAAGATTCGAAAAGTATTCCTGAGTTTCTAAGGATGCCTAATCTAGTTACACATGAAGCCAATCTTGACAAAATAATGAAGGCTCAAGAGGAAAACATAAGATTTGAGATGTTATTGAATTTTAACTTCTATTTATATATATATATATATATATCCTTCCTCTCTCCTTTTTCTAGCTAGATTAATTTAATTTTATTCGATACAAATAAACATCTTTGAAATAGGCCTTGTTATCGCGCTGTCTTCGCAAAGATAACTCGATGTACTTATTTTAATTTGGCCTTTCAAGAGCGTAGGTGCCCCTAGGATTTGATTCATGTGGGCTTTCAATTCCCTCAGGCTTCATTAAGTCTTCCCTTAGAGATTCCAGTACCACTACTTACCAAGGAGCCCGTGTTTTAAAAATGGGAGTGTGAGTTGAGGCATAAAAGTGTCAATCTCAAATTATAAAGCGTAATCTTTATGGATATTTGTAGTGTATATATTATCTTTGATTTTATAATTTTATTACTAAAAAATGAGTAAAAGTAATTTTCAATGATTCTCCAAATAAATTAAAATATCATTAACAATATGAAAAATGTAGCAACACAAAAGATGTTAATAACCCAAATAATCTTTAAAATAAAATAATCATGCAAATTTATTATTTATCCTTCATATCTACTAGTCCTTTTCACTCTCCATTAATATTTACATTTGTGATTCTGGTAATAACCTTGTTAGTTCTGAAACTGTGAAATCTAGTATATACTAGATGAGTGTTGCCGTGCTCCCAACATTTTACACTTTAAAGTAGTGGCAACATGAACATATACACAACTGCAAAAAGTTTGTTTAAAAGTTTATGCCCGAGAATGTCTTCATAAGTCATATAGGCATAACACTATTATGTGTTCTTTCTCCACCACCCTCCGATGTCTCTAATAATATACAACCTGAACCATAATAAATACACACATAAACAATATATCTAGAAGGTCAAAAACAAACCAACAACGAAAGCTGCTCCCATTAATACTACAAATACGACATTCCATCTTTAGCTAAAATGGTGTATTGACGAAAAAAATTGAGCTAGGAACATACTAAACAATCACAAGAAACACCTACCTTAGAGACTCCTTTGTAAACATCCTCACCAGCAGGATTATAATGAGAACTCTGATCTTGGATTCTCTTCATTAAGCAATGCTTGTCATCATACATGAAGACTATAATATTTTGAACAAATTTTGCTCGACAGCTGATACCAACTGATATGCCAAAGGTTATGAATCTTTTAGAAGTTTACTACTGACTCCAAATTAGTTACTATTCAGTGAAATAACCAATGCGACCACATTACATCTATCTACCAGCAAAGACAGGTTAGAGTGGTAATCTATGCTTACCTTAAACCTTAAGTAGCAATATCACGGGCTTCATGTTCCATAAATATTTGCCAAATATGATGTCCAATAAATATTTTCTAATCATTTGAAGAATCTCCTGTAAAATTCTGCAAGACATTTGAAGCAATATTCCTAAGCAAAAAGGGTAAAACGCCACTGTAATCTTTTTAGAGAAAAAATAGAATGGAAAACCAGTTATATTGTATAGGAACAAACTTCTAGTGTAGCAAAAATGGAAAATCTCAAAGCTCCTCGAATGACATGTTCAAGAGAAGAATGTCAGGAGTTACAAGTAATTAAACAAATACACAAGAATAAGTTGTTAAGCCTCAATAAAGCTTAATGATGATTAATTGAATTATACATCCACATTACAACGTAATCACAGAAAAAACTATTCATATTGAGAAATCGAATCAATAAATGGAGAAGCTAGAAGGAGAATCGGATGATGGAAATTATAGATGGAAGTGAAATGTGTACTGACAAGGTGGTCTTTATTTTATTTCAAATTCATTTCCTGAAAGTATTCAAAAGGTTAAGTTCTCCTCTAATACACATGTTAGGCTATTATGAGAATAATGTTTATATCACGGAGATGTGTCCGTAGCTTTGAAATAGGCATGGAGCTGGGATACATGACCTATGAGGATTCCACCTACTACCCCTTTGACATCAAACAATGTTGATAAGTTACTAGATTCCTCAGGACAAGTATCGTCACAAAAGGATCAAGATACACTTTTACATAATAGAGTAAGAAAACAACAAGACGACATATCCAATATGACAAATGTAGAACAGTTAGCATATTTGTATGGCGAATATAGTACCGGAGGCACGATAGAGAAATGTGTAAGCAACCAAAAAATGCAAAAAGCAAATGACCCGACTCCTGGAATCCTCTATGCTTCTCTAAAACCCACAACTGATTCTCTTTTCTGTTTGATCTTGAGAGAGGTTTATTCAATTCCTCGTCTTCTTTTTCCTGGCGATAACACTTCATCTTTATTACCCAAAATGATTACGGATAAAACAGGTAAGAATATGAACACTATCATGTAACTAAAATCAATAAGGATATGAGCAACAATCATTGACCGACCCCATCCGTAGTTCAAATAATATTGATGCGAATATGTACCCCGTAAGGTTTCCAATAGATGTGTGAGCATGCTAAATACCCATTATAAGTCACCTCTTTGTTGCAAACCCAATTCCCTAGCATTGCAACTACTAAAGGACATCTAGTGGGCTGGAACAATGATCCAGCAACCATTTGAATAGTCATATAGTAATTGAAACTATGGACATTTGCCCAATATCCAAGTCAAGAAAGAATTCTGAATAAACCTATTCCTAATGTTTCCCATGTAGATTTTTTTTTTGAATCTATTCTGTAGTCTATGTGCCCTGAGATATACATTTTGGTGGCAAACACAAATAGGAAAGCCATATCAAGATTACCATTTCCATTAGGGATGTTAAGTGTAAACCAACCATCTCTAAATGGTACTATTACCTTGACATGGTAAATTAGGACTAAACCCACGGGATTGGGGATCAAGTGCTTGCTTGTTTCACAATGTCTGTAGTTTTCCAATTACAATGGTAGCCAAAATATTTGTGAAGTGGATATATTAATCAATTTCCATAATAATTTTATGTATCAAAAATCTAATTTTAAAAAAAGTACGGAATTTTCTGTACAGATATGTATTTGTTAGCTTCTAACATGGCTTGGTATACAGAAGTGCAGACCACTGGGAAGAGGATAAAGAACATACGACTAAAGAATAGAAAGACATTTTCTTTAGCTAGAGAGCACTGAGCACACCTTGTCACATAGATATTGTAGCATGACATTGTCTCGAGCCTGCACGATATAAGGAAGTTCGATCCCTTCCGACTATAATGATTAGAAATGCACAAATTTAGTTCTAGAGTGATGAGGAAGCAATCATTTAAGCATCTTCTCACAAGAAAAAATATGGTAACTACAGCAAGTGAGAGAGCTTCTCATCAACTTAACTGAATTTCACGGCGACCTGATAATAAAGAGATCAAAGTCATCTTGAAAAGTAAAGCTTGGTAGTTGATGTAATTATGTTTATCTGCTGAATGGTAGTTCCTTTGCTCTACTATTTACAGCCTCAAAACACAGCTTATTGTAAGAGACTGACAGGTTCCAAATATTGGTGCCTTTGAGTAGGCGATCCTGCTAGCCAAGCACAATTCATATGTCTTCATATAAAAAACATGTATACAATTTTAAAGAGAAGAGGGAAAATGTAAGCCAAGCACAAGTCAATATTTCATGAGGTCACTGACTAATGACTTCTATAAGATGTTAATGTAATCACAGTAAAGTTTAGGATAGAAACCAACCTGCTCAGCAAATGCCTCGAACATATTGCATCAAGGGGATGTGTTTCAGCAGGGGAGAAAAATCCAGTGACATTTGATATATTAACCGTGTCTTCTGTCATAATAAAGGTAGTCAAACATTCATTTGACGAAGTTGAACATTGCTTGGTGCTCTGTCCCTCCAATTTCCAATTTGCCTGGCTTTGAGATGTCAATGGTGGATAAACCATACAAGTTGGTCTAAGGACCATATCTATGTATACGGATCCCAATATCTTTTGCACACCAGATGCAGGAGTCAAGAAATTTATCAAGCTGAAATAAAAATAAAAGGTAAATCATAAGTACGTAGACCTTCATATATTACACAATGCACAACTTGCAAGAATTTCTTATGTCTTAAAACTCAGAGCTTGGACCAATAAATCATGTTAAAGTTTTCTGGAAAATGTATGAAAACAAATAGAAGAACAATCCACTCTTTTAATAACTATTGATTTATTATTAAACGTCTAGATAATAAGCAACAATGACCATGTCCATAACTACCTTGGGACACTCCATCCTTAATTTAAGGAGCGTGTGGTAGATCCAAAAGATTGTCCAAAAGTAGTCCATGTTCACAGGAAATTCCATGACTATCGTCTATTCAGTTTTAGTGAAAATGGTTGTAAGGAAAAATAATATAAACAACTGAAAATCTAATGGTAGTGATTCCAAACCTCTGCAACATTTTGAAATCCAAAAGATCGTTGTAAAAAAGAAAGAGTAGTTGTAGGTGACAAATCCATATCATTCTTTCTTGTTCAAAGCAAAGTAGTGCTTTGATCTTTACATTCAGTAATCTTGTTGATGGCATTGTCTCACACTTCCCGATAGTGGAATACTCCATCCTAATTCCGTTAAACAAATATCAAAGTTAGTGGTAGCTATTTCATGTCCTCTGCAAAATGAAAATGGAAGGAGAAATATAAAATCACCCTGATTTGTTGTGCAAAACACATATTTCATCAAACACTCAATTAAATTGAATTGTACAGTAAAATGTAATCGCAAAGATAAAAATGAAAATCAAGCCGGGTATATTCCATATTATTGTTGTAAAACAATGACTACATATTGTTGTTTTGCTTTTTGATTGACCAAGAGAAAGCCAAAAAGAATATCCATAAGAAAATAATATTCTAATATCTTGCACGTCTTATGGAAGATCATAATTGACAACATAATAGCCTACATCTTGACCAGTAGAACCAAAACCACCAAGATAAATATAAATTGGTATGCTCCCATATATGCCTTTAGTCGTGATACAAATAATCGTGTTGCAGCCCGAAAAGAAAAATGGCAATTGGGAACTTTAAATAAGTTAATTGAGATATATTATCAAACAACTTAGATACACAATCCACTTGATATCTTATATTTTTGTAAAATGGTCCAACTTTTGCACTAATTAATGGCTATAACAATTAAATTTATCAAAGAAACATAATGCATGTGTAAATCAAACGGTTAGTAAGGTGCATGTAGAAATCTTAGGTAGACGGTATATCAAAAGAGTAGAAAACTAAGGTACACATTTAAAATTGTGTTTACTTTTAATTTCCGAATCAAAAAGAGCCGAAGAGACCCAACAAGAAGAAACTCAAAAGAACTAATCAGAGCAAACATCATAGTGAGCAAAAAGTGAATATTTTAGCTTTGTGAAAGTATTTGGAAAGATAACCAAATAAATTTAAGATTTATACCAACTCAACTCCTCTTGCCATGATAGTGCTTGTCAATGTATCCCCTGCCACTGCAGAATTTTGGACCATATGTTCTTGGCATAGTCACAACAGAAGAACAAATAAATTTAAGATTTATACCAATGATGAATGAAAGAAAATTGAAGTGAGGAATTGGACATAGTATCATAACAACAAGAAGTATAAAATTGAACTATGCATAAATTTGATTGAAAAAACTGGAAGCAGCAAAACCCTAACCAATCTTCTTCACCCCATCAAAGGGGAAAAAGAGAGATAATGATTGAGAAGCAATAAAGAAGATTTTGTAAATTAAAGTGTATTGCACGAAAAAAAAAGGAAAAATAACTTAAATACACAACTATAATTTTTATATTCTCCAATTTTCCCTACTTTTTTTAAATATTACATAATTTCCTTTTTTTTTTTATTTTAGTGTAAGTTTTTAGATACATTACACTCTCTCTCCTATAATACACATTTACCAATTTTAATGCCTATTTTTTCTCCATTAAAACACTCAACCTCTTAAATCAGTTTTTGAATTTTAAATTTTTTCCATTTAAACACTCAACCTTTTAATCAGCTTTTTAATTTTGAATTATTAAATTTAATTAAATTTAAATAAAAGAACAAATTTTGTAATTTTGAATTTCAAAATTCAAAAAATATGGAAGCAGGGTAACTTCCACTGCATTCTACCGTTTTGTTCTTACCAAAGTCACCTTTCACTTCTTTTTTTTTCCTTAATCGTCTTCATCCCACTATTTCTTCATAACTTTGAATCTTCTCAACCCAGCAGATTTTTCTATTTTCTTCTTTTTATTCTTAATCCATATTCGACTATTTCTTCCTAATATTAAATCGTAAGAACTCAGACCCTTTTTATAGTTAATCCATCATCAATTCGTATATTCTTCTCTTTTTCGTTTTTGTTAATTGTTCTATTACTTCATAGTAATGGATCCGTCAATTAATAGAAGGATATATGATTCCGATGATGATAATTGGAAAGAAAATAGGAAAAAGTCTTTGCATGATCCTATGAATCTTCAAAAGGATTCAAACAAAGACCATGGCGAAACATCAAAGGTTGTAAAAATACAACCAAAAAGGAAAAAAGAAGCAGCAAACACTGTTGTTAGGCCTACATTGTCTCGGGTTAGTATTTTGGTACTTAAAAATGGTGTTGTTTAAATTAGTAAAATTTTTAAGGAATCAAGTGTGCTTGCTGATACATTTTAAAAAGGGTGTATAGTGTTTTAGATGGTCAACTGATACGTGAATTTATTGTGTTTCATAATATTTTATATGTATCATTAGGTTTTTGAAAATTATTATAATGTATCATTCAATAAGTGTAA